GTTCAACCCAACACGCTGCCGATGGTGATCGTATTGGAGAAGGAGCTGGCTGCCCTCTCCATGCGGCCGGGAGATGATGTGAAGCCGGCCCTTGACAAGATCAAGGACACCTATGCGAGGATGGCAGCGGCGGGCAGCAAGGTGTCGGAAATGCAGCAGTGCACCAAAATCATCTCGATGCTCAACAACTCGTGGGACAACCTTATCCCCACCCTCAACGCTCAGCAGGACAAGTGGACGCCTAAGTGGCTATGGCAGCAGATCCTGCAGGAGGACTTCCGCAGGCGCCACACGGGAGGTGGTGCTGCCAACAAAACTGCTGAGGGGTATGGAGCTGCAGGAGGCAGCAGAGGGAGAGGGGGAGGGAGAGGCCGAGGCTGTGGGAGAGGCTTTGGCAGAGGAAGAGGCCGAGGTGACTACAACGAGGGGCATGAGAACTCTGGTGGCGGGGGAGCACCCGAATGGAGGGTGCGTGCTGGTACTGCAAGAAGGCTGGACACCCGTGGTTCAAGTGTTTCAGCCGGCCTGAAGGATGGGCACCTCCAGGCATGAAGCCGCCAAGTGGTGAACGTGCACGAGGTGGTGCTGTGCAAGGTGATGGTGCACAAGGTGATGGTGCACAAGGTAAAGCCGACCCTGGGATGTTCCTCATGGTTGAGGATGTGCAAGGGAGTGGGGGTGATGTGGGTTCAGTTGGGAAGGTTGTGATGCACCCCCTCACTCATTGATTCAGGTTGCACGAGTCACATGACTCCACGGGCAGATTTGCCTGATGAGGTGAAGCCCCCTGGGAAGATAAAGTTTGTGGCTGCCGCTTCAGGTGCCTTGCTACCTGTGATTGGTGTTGGGAATGCCAAGGTTATGGGAGCTAATGGGGGGCTTGTGGGGCTGGGAAATGTGCTGTTGGTTGAAGGTTTATCCGCTAACGTCCTCTCTGTGCGCCGGCCGCAGAAAAGCAAGGCCAAAGTTACGTTCGGCCCAACCAGCTGCCGTGCAAAGCTTGGGAAGTTGCTGCTGTGGGATTTGGAGGAGAAGAGCAGCTGCATCAAGGACCTGTGGCAGCTGCCCATCCTCCCTTGGAATGGGAAACCTCCAGCAACGGCAAACGCAGCGGCAGCGGCTAAGGCAACTGCGGGAGGAGAGGAGACTGCACCAACTATTGGGGCCCTGGATGCAGTCAAGAAGGTGCAGCAGCCACAGCAATCACATGGTGAGATGATTGCTGGTGTGGATGCAACGGCTGCATGGGCAAAGGCTTCGTCTGGGAGTGGTGAGGCCGATTGGGAGACGTGGCATGAGAGGCTGTGCCACATCAACATTCCTATGCTGCAGAAGTTGGTGAAGGATGGGAGCTTGAAGGGATTGGAGGTGAAGGGGGCAGCGAAGGAGATTGGGAGCTGCCCTAAATGCCTTGAGACAAAGTTCACCAAGTTCCCTTTCAGCAGCAGCACGGGACCAGCCAAGGTTCCACTCGCGCTTGTGCACATGGATGTGGTGGGCCCCACAAGGGCCCTTTCTCTCTCGGGCAGCCGCTACTTCTTGACCATTGTGGACGACCACACACGTGCGGTGTGGGTCTACCCTCTCAAGACTAAAGGGGAGGTGGCAGCGGCTGTTCTTAAGGAGTGGATGCCGAGAGCACAAAGGGAGAGCAGACACAAGGTCAAGGTGAACCGCACCGACAATGGGGGAGAGTTTATTGGCGATGATTTTGAGGCGGTGCTGAAGAAGGGGATCCAGCATCAGCTCACGGTGCCCTACAACCCTCAGCAGAACGGCGTGGCTGAGCGGTTCAACCGGACCCTACAGGAAGGTGCTCGCACTCTCCTTGGGCGTGCAGGGCTGCCGGATCCGTTTTGGGTGACAGCACTGCGGCACGTCGCTGTTGTGAAGAACCGGGTGCTGGCCACAGTGGGGGACAAGCAATGGATCCGCTACACCAAGTGGTATGGGAGTGCACCAGCAGTTAACATGCTGAGAGCCTACGGCTGCATGGTGGTGTTTCATGTGCCTAAGGAGAAGAGGGGAAAACTGGAAGCTTCTGGGAGATGGGGTGTGCACTTGGGGCTTGCTAAGGATCACAAGGGCTGGCTGATTTGGGACTTGACCAGCTAGCAGCAGACTGTGTCGAGGGATGTGAAGTTCCTTGAGTCCTTGTACTACAAGGAGTGGAAGCATCAGCAGGAGAAGCTTCCCACTACACCGCTGATCATTGAGGCTGATGAGGTGCAGCGGCCTTCGAGGCAACTGCAGGTCACTGTCTCAGAGGAGGAGATTTCTGGGGTGACTGAGGATGGGGGAGAACCTGAGGTGGAGGAGCAGCAGCAGCAGCAGCAGCAGCAGCCGCAGCAGCAGCAGCAGCAAGATGCTCCACAAGGTGCCGTACGTCTGGCTGACCATCCAAGGAGGGATGTGCGCCCTCCTAACCGGCTGACCTATCCGAGCTTTGGGGAGCCAAGTGTGGTAAGGGCTGGGAGTGTGGCTGAGCAGTGTGATGATGAGGAGATAGCGCACTGTTACTGGGCAGCCGTCCCTGAGCCCAAGACACTTACCGAGGCCTTGAGTGGGCCCGATGCTGAGAAGTGGAAGCAGAATGTGAAGGAGGAGTATGACTCTCTACTGGAGAACGAGACGTGGGAGCTGTGTGAGCTGCCTCCAGGGAAGAAGGCCATTTCTTCCAAGCTGATTTTCAGGCACAAGTACGGACCTGATGGGGAGCTGACCCGCTACAAGTCAAGGCTTGTGGCTAAGGGGTTCCAACAGACAAAGGGGAAGGATTTTGATGATATCTTTACTCCTGTGGGGAAAGGCACTACTACAGTGAGGACGATGTTGGCAATGGCTGCAAACCGTGGCTGGAAGATCAAGCAGATGGACATAATCACTGCCTTCCTCAATGGAATCATTCTGGAGGAGCTGTACATGCTGCAGCCTGAGGGGTTGGATGATGGGAGCGGCAGGGTGTGCAGGCTCAAGAAGGCCATCTATGGCCTGAAGCAGGCTCCTCGCGCATGGTACCACAAGCTGGAGGAGACACTGCTGGCCGGGGGGTTCAAGAAGAGCGAGTGTGATCACAGCCTGTTCCTACTGCAAGAGAAGGAGCAGTTCCTCATGCTCCTGGTGTACGTGGACGACATCCTGCTCTTCTCTGAGTCGTCTGCGATGATTGAACGTGTGGAGGAGATGCTGGAAATGCAGTTCAAGTGCTCCAAGATGGGAGATGTGAAGTACTACCTTGGGATGCACGTGGAGAGGGACCTTGACAAGGGAGTGTTGAGGTTGCACTAGAGGAAGTATTGTGAGGGGCTGGCTGAGAAGCATGGGCTGCAAGATGCAGGAAAGCCAACCACCCCGCTGCCTTCGGGGTTCAATGTGGAGCCCTGTGCAGATGAGGAGGTGGTGGGGGAGAGTGACAGGAAGTTGTTTCACTCCATGGTGGGGGCACTCAACTATGCGGCTAACCACACGCGGCCTGACATTGCCTTTGCTACATCCAGGCTTGCGAGTGTGGTTTCATGCCCAAGTCATGAGCACAGCATCAGTGGGCTTGGAGTACAGTGCTGTGCGACAGAGGCTACAGAGGGGTGCAGCTGATTTGAGCAAGGGGGAGATGCGCTTGACTTGCTACACCGACGCTAGCTTCAACTCAGTGAAGACGGATGGCACCAGCATTGGAGGCTATGTGTGCCTCTTTGGAGGTGGTGCAGTGAGTTGGCGCAGCAAGAAGCAGAATGAGGTGGGGTTGTCCTCGTGTGAGTCAGAGTACATGGCCCTGCATCATGGGGCAAAGGAGGTGGTGTGGCTGAGGCGTTTGTTGGAGGAAATCGGAGTGTGTCAGAGGGAGCTGACTGTGATTTTCTGTGACAATGAGTCAGCGGTGAAGCTTGCGAAAAATGCCTGTCTTCATGGCTTGACAAAGCACATCAGGCCAAAGTGGCATTGGACAAGGAGGCTCCTGGACAAGGAGGTGCGGCTGGAGATTGTGAAGACCCAGCAGCAGGCGGCTGACATTCTCACCAAGCGCCTGGTAGAACCTGAGCATTGGAAGGGCATGAAGCTTGCGGGAATGAGTGTGCATTGAGGGTGCATGCTTGAGTTATGGCATGTGGGATGATGGTTGGCAGCCGGAGGGGGAGTTTGTTGTGTGATGCAACCATATGCATTCACGTTTGTCTGCCTCCCATCATGTGTTTGTGCGTTGCATGCGTGGTGTGAGCGTGTGCAAGAAATTTGTGTCTTGTGTGGTTTGGATTTTCTGTGTGTGTGTGTATGTTATTTGGCTTGAGCAGATATCTGAAGTGATTCCTCTACTCAAGAGCTTTCCGACGAACCAAGAATCGTCGCGATCGGAGCACAACCAAGAAAGTTACGAACATTGGAGCTCGTATGCTTATATATTTTGGTTGCAGCTACTTTGGGAAGTTGTGGCATTGACTCAATATGGGTTACAGACTTGTGGGGGTTGGGAAATTCGAACCCATCATTGTAGATGCTGCCAAGAGGTTGGGTGAAGCCAAACCAGGTTGGTAAGTGTGGCCAAGTTTTGGTGAGGTGGATGGCATGGGTTGGAAAGTGACAAAGGTCAAAGTTTGTTGCCTATGGGGAAGGGAATTGTGTGGCATGGGGTTTCCTTGGTTGGGGACTCTCTCTTGAGACCTTCCCTCTTGTCCTCCTCTTCCCCTCCTACCAGGTTTAGTGCTACTCTAATGTTCTTTTGTGGGACTTGTGAGTTAATTGTGATTGAGTTAAATTTCTGTGGCAGCATACCCCCTAGTGCGCCAAAAACCATAACTCAAGATATGCTTCATAATTTGATACGATTCAAATTGGGAAATGTAGCCACGGTCAAGGGCTACAACGTTTTCGAATTTCGTGGGATTCTAACAATGCACCTTTTGTCGACAACGTTTCTTGTGAAGTCGACGTTTCTGTCCAGAAATTGAGACCAACGATTTTGAGAAATTTGGGCACCTAATCTTCATAGACTCCGTCCTTAGTCTCTAACATCCACCACCACCTCCACCGCACCCGCTAGCCCCTCCAGTGCCCTTGCCCCCCTTGCCCTTGCCGGTGCGGCGTCTCCCGCTCGGGGCAGACGCAGCGCCGACCGACTCGAAACCAACGAGGTCGGCCGCAGCAGCAGAAGCAACAGAGGGCAAGAGGGGGGAGGGGGAACACCCCTCAAAGATGGGGGTGCGGGGGTCACCACGAGAGGTTCCTACAGCGACTATGCTCTTCTCTGCTGCTAGGAGGCGCTCCTCGAGGAGGTCGACGGTGAGTGTGGTGGGGCAAACTGAGAGGAAGTGGTCCCTGACTACGCGAAGGGAGTCAGGGAGGCGGTTGACTATGTAGTAGAGGGTGATGTACATGGGGGGGGGGGGGGGGGGGTTCTTGGCACAGAACTCAGCAGGAAGCGCAGCGCGGTAGCGAATGTGACTAGTGCGAAGGTGAGTGATAAGGTCAGCGACTGTGGGAAAAGCAGCAAGGTCAACGAACAGGTACGGCAGCATGAGGCGGCTAAGAGCAGCAGTGGCACGGGAGGAGTAGCGTGCAACTACAGCGTCGTACAAGGTCTTAGCACTCTTGTACTGGCTAAAGTACGCACGCTCAGCAGTCGGTAAGTGGCGACGCACAGCAAGGCAAGCAGCAGCATCGCGTCTGGCCCACTGTGAGCAAACAGTGCTGTCAGCAGTAGCAGGTGGGGCGGGAGAAACATTAGAGGTGAGATCGAACACAGAGAGTCCGTCTACCCTATCGCACTGTAGAAACAGCTGGAGATCATCGACCCAGACCTCAAAGTCAACGGCTTGGCCCTCAGCATCAAAGGTAAGGACACTGGGGGTAGCCATGACTGCAGTGGCCTTGTAGGGAATGATCTCACCTGTCCGAGTAAGTAGGGCCGGGGCGCACTAGTAGGAACAGCAGCGGCTCGATAGTAGGGCGTTCGGCGGCTCGGCGGCTCGGCTGCTGGGCAGCTCGGCTGCAAGGCGGGTCGGCGGCTCGGTTGCTGGGCGGCTCGGCTGCTGGGCGGCTCGGTTGCTGGGCGGCTCGGCTGCTGGGCGGCTCGGCGGCTCGGCGGCTGGGCGGCTTGGCTGCTGGGAGGCTCGGCTGCTGGGCGGCTCGGCGGCGACGGCTGGTGGGTGGCTCGGGTGCTGGGCTGCTCGGCGGCTCAGTCGCTGGGCGGCTGAGCGGTGACGGGGCCGCTAGGGGAGGGCGACGGGGCCGCAGGTGACGGCGTCGGGGCCGCAGGTGGCGGCGACGGGGCCGTAGGCGGCGGCGGCGGGGCCGCAGGTGGCGGTGACGGGGCCGCAGAGGGGCCGCAGAGGGGCCGCAAGGGGCCTAGACGGGGCCGCAGAGGGGCCGCAGAGGGGCCGCAAGGGGCCTAGACGGGGCCGCAGAGGGGCCGCAAGGGGCCTAGACAGGGCCATAGAGGGGCCGCACGGGGCCTAGATGGGGCCGCAGAGGGGGCCGCAAGGGGCCTAGACGGGGCGGCGACGGGGCCGTAAGGGGCCCAGACGGGGCGGCGACGGGGCAGTAAGGGGCCTAGACGGGGCGGCGACGGGGCCGTAAGGGGCCTAGACGAGGCGGCGACGAGGCCGTAAGGAGCCGTAAGGGCGCCGCGAGGGGGGCCGACGGGCATCGCGAGGGGCCGTAACGGGCCGTAAGGGTGGCGCGAGGGGCCATAGAGGGCGGCGCGAGGGGCCGTAAAGGGCAGCGCGAGGGGCCGTAAGGGCGGCGTAAGGGGCCGTGAGAGGGGCCGCTAAAGGCGACGCGAAGGGGCCGCGAGAGGGCGCGACGGTAGGGAGGGCACACAGAGCGCGATTCGGGCAGGAGCGAGGCGCGCTCTGGGCAGGAAAAAAAAATATATTGTGGTGGGCCCTAGGAATCGTTCCCACTAGGGAACTTGCTCGATACCATGATAAGAAACGAGGAATGGATGCATTGAGCAGAATGAGGAGTAAAGTGTTGTACCCCATATGAACTGCCCCACTACAGCCTACACAGACTATAGCATATATGCCTGACACACACGTGCGACGCAAGATTGTCAAGCGATTTTTGGTCAGCATACTAATTGTGTCTAGCCGCAACGATTACAATAATCTAGAAACTCTCTTGTGAGGCACGAAAACACGCCCGAGGATGTCGAGCATATCTAGCTCTGACATTGTTTTTCAAATTACTGACACAGTTAGCCTAATTTCAACCCGTGAATATTTAGACGAATTTGTCGCGCAACACATTAGATTGATGAGCCAACCAAAGGCTCGCGATGAGTCAGATTGACTCACGAGTCATCCCTAGCTCTCCAAAATCGCTTCGCCGGGCAGAGCGGCTCGCTTGGCTCGACTAGTCATACTCGACTCGGCTCGATCCGAGACAAAGGGCAAACAACTCGGGGGAAACCCGAGCCGAGCCTGTCCAGACGAGTCAAGGCTCGTCAATCTGCTCATGTCTAGGTTTGGGTCAAAATACCTTGAGAACCTTTGCTCCATTACTTTACCCGATTGGGTTAAAACAAACTAGTGCCGACTCCATTCGAACTGCACGCGGCTCGTGGGTTAATAACCATGTATACATAAACTATGTATGAAAGTAACCAAACGAGTCATGAATGCTACAAGTTTGGCCAGATATCTTTCTGGTTCATTTAGAACCGTTCTGGTTTGGCACCGAACCAGTTAAAGAAAAAAGTAAAATAACCGAACCACTTTGATTCGGGTGTTTGCTCATGTCCAAGCTATACAAGCTACAAGTCAACATCTGAGTAATTATATGCTATGCCTCTGCTACCTCCCTTTTTCATCCCAGGGATCTTTCAAGGAATCAGCTTTCAAGCAGCATTCCTTCTAGTGTTAATGCTCTTGGTGAACTCACTCTCTTGTAAGTCGCAGAGACCATTTTGTGCGATATAAGCCTACATGTAAGCTCACCAGCTGGAACTAGCCAGGCAGATTGGTATGAAGGAATTTATTTCAGGTGGTAGGTACAACAATACAAGGGAAAGAAAACCCGAATCCGTGTTCGTTTCAACTCGGACATGTTCGCACACAGCATTTACGCCCATTCCGACATACCCCGCACCGTGCGGGCCGCATGCCATTCCGCCATACGTAGCAATAAGGATTAGGAAGAGCGAACTCAAACTTATTCAACTCGAACATGGTTAAGTCCAACCTGTCAGAGGTTCGCCGTTATGCTCATCCCGCTCGTACCGAACAGAGGTTCCCAAGCCATTCATACATGCAGGAAAATAACTGAGGCTGAAATGAAAATATGGATGCTTCACCAAACCCAAACATGTTCGACTCGAACATATGGATATTCGACTCGAACATATGGATGTTTGACCTTCGGTGTCGAATATCGAACATCCACTTTCAACAAGAAAATCTTCGACCCAGACCGAATATGTTCGGTTGGACGCGTCCCTTTTGGCGACTTGAGTCGGGTACGGTTCGAGTTGGGTCGGGTCGTAGTCGGGTCAGGATCCCAGGGAAGCCGACCCGACCTGGGCTTAGGGTACATAATTACCTCGTGTCAGACGTCAGGTCAGGTACAAAGGTTGGTATCAGAAGACCCGAAGTGACGTGGAATTCAGGCAAAATGATGTTTCGGAAGACCCAAAGTGGCCCACTTCGGGTCTTCGGAACCTCCATCAGAACCTCCACTTCGTGCCTGACACAAGGTACGAATAGGGATGGGCATTTGGCCCAGACGGGTCGGGTCAGGAATGCTGAGAATGTTGACCCGTCCGGGTCGGGTCGGGTTTACCCGGGCGGGTCGGGTCGAGCCGTGACCCGTCACTGTGATTTATAGACGGGTATTAGTGACTCGCCGGGTCGGGTTGACCCGTCCCGTCCGGGTCGCATACCCAGTCAAATGACAGGGTTACCTGTCCCGTTCTCTGATTAGGGTACACTTTGGAGAGGGGGAGAACATCATTTGGTTCTGATGTTTTGTTTCCCTCGACATTCAGACCCCGTCTCTAGACTAGATCAAGCTAGTAAATCTGCACTGCACCTACCAAGACTCTTACAGTTCTCCTTTGAGCCCTTAAAACAAAGAGATGAGACATTAGGCTTGTCCTTTGTCCACTGCTTAGTGGGGGTCATGGAGGGAGAAGGGGGTGAGGGTAAAGGTTAGTAAGGAGGGGGGCATGAAGGAGGGCGTAGCCCCACAGAGAAGGGTGGCAAGTTTCGTGAACAAGGAGACATAGAGCTGTTTTGGTGATCTCGCGAACACGACTCTGAGCCACATCGTTCTGCTGTGGGGAGTGAGGGAGGGTGTAAGTTTGAAGAAGGCCATGAGACTGGCAATAGGAGGATACGTGGTTGTTAAAGAACTCACCACCACCATCAGAGTGAAGGCTGCAAACAGGGCTTCAAAATGGGTGTTGGCCTTCTCGAGCCACGCGATGATCGCAATCGGGGCCTTCGCCTTCGTCCAAAGGAGATAGACGAACGAGTACCAACTGTGATCATCGACGAGCACAAGAACGTAGCGATGGCCCTAGCGAGTGGGAGAGGGATTAGGGCCCCAGAAGTCCCTGTGAACAAGATCAAGGGGCTGGGCAGCAGGTGAGGGGGAGCTCCGGTGTGGCTGTTGCTTGAGCTTGCTCTGAACACAGACGGTACAGGGCGGTGCAGGGGATTTGGGGAGGGGAGGGAGGGAGGAGGGAAGACCGTGGAGGAGACCCAAGGAGACAGAGGAGTGCAGAGTAGCGAAGTGATGGAGGAGGATGGTACGGTGGGAGAGGGAGCGACACGAACAGTGTGAGTCAAGGGGGTGGGGAGGGAGGTTTGGGTTAGTGGGAGGGAGGGGAGCGGGGGGGGGATGGCGGAAGAGAGAGGGAGAGGCAACTTGGTAGGAGGGGGGGTGGGGAACTCGAAGGGTGTACTGACAGGAACGAGGACAAAACGGAATACGGGAGAGAAGGCGACCTGTAGCGGTATGGTAAAGGGCACAATGGTTAGCAACACCTGGGAAGACAGTGGTGATAATGCATTATTGGAGGGACCTTTGGGAGAGGAGTTTCGTACAAAAAGAAGGAATGTGGAGACCGGTGACAGTACCTGAGGGAAAGAGAGGTCAGGGAAAGGTGGAGGTGTTTTGACAGGGGATGGAAAAACTGCTATCAGCGCTAAGGAGGGAGGTGGGTGTGAGGAGAGGGCGCAGTGTACCAGCATCACGAAGGACAGTGTCAGTGGCTCCGCTATCCAGGACGAAGTCACGGGTGGAGGATGGTGAAATAGAGTACTGGAGCGAAGTTTCATTAAAAGCAAGGGCATACATGACGAAAGCAACAGATGCAGGCTGACTAAGCAAGCCAACACAGGCAGAGGAGGAAGAAGGGGTCACATGGCCACCTGTGGATGGCGTGGGAGATGCACCAGAGAGGTGAGCGGTGGGGCAGCATTCACGGCGGTCCAACTGGGAAAGGGTTGCTGCTGGGAGATAGGAGGAGGAGGGAAGAGAGGCAGCTGGGGCGGGAGGTCGAGCTGCTGATGAAGTTACTAAAGCTGCTGTTGGAGCTCCTGAACCTGCCGCCCGTATTGCTGCAGCCCCTGCTGCTGAATATGCTGCTGCTGTGCGGGAGGGGTAAGGGCCTGGTGGGCATGGGTGGAGGAAGACGGGTTGTAGAGAGGAGAGGTGCGAACGTCTGGGGGGTGGGGCGGGGGTTAAGGGCGGACCAGAGGAGGGGTGTTAGAGTTCCCACGAGCGAACCAGTCATCGCTTAGTGCGTTGAAGCACATTTCAGTTGCATAAGTGGTTTAGCCGCAGCGTTGGCCTCGAGTGGGACCATAGAGGGGCAAGTAGTGACAGGGCGGGAAGGCCGCTGCTGCACCACGACCCGCACCACCGTGACCGCCAGAACCGCCTCTCCCACCACCACGCGCGCCTCCACGCCCACCCCCAGGCCCACTCTTGCTGCTGCGCGGATGTGCTGCTGCGGCGGTGGAGGAAGAATGGCGAAAGATTTTAGCCTCAGTGGTGATGATCCACTGCGCAACATGAGCAGGGGTGTGATGCTTTGAGATGAGCTGCATGTATGCAAGCTTGTGGGCGTTGAACGCAGGGATGAGGCCCTCGAGGAGGTGGCAGCAGATGACGGGGTCAGGGTAAATAGCATCCATTGCGGCAAGGCGGCGAGCAAGGACAGGACGCGGCGAGTGAAGGCGGCTACGCCAGCGGTGGTGTCCATAAAGAGGGACCCAAATTCCTTGATGAGTGCGTAAAGGGTGGCAATGTCCTGCCTGTCAAAGAGGTTGACAAGCAGTTGCTACAGGTGGGAGGAGGAGGTAGGTGAGAGCTCTCGTTTGAGGTAGGAAGGGATGGTGGTAAGGAGAATGATGAGAGCGCGGCAATCCGCAATGTGCCACGCAGCGATATCGATGGTGTAGGTGGCGAGGCATGTGGTGTAAGT